TTATAGTTTAAAATTTGATTTAAAAAGGTAATATCATGCTAATAGCCTCAACTATAATCAGTAATAATAAAATAAATATTGATTGAGCCATAAATAAATGGACTGTTGTAATGAAATAACACTAATACCAACAAAATATACAACTAAGCTCATTAAGGATTCTACAAAAGTAGTCAGCAAAAAGAAATTTAAAATCGACTAAATGTATTAAAAAAATAATACTTAATCTATTTTATAGGGCAATTGATTAAATTTTCATAAACCAGAAGTATTCAAACTGAGCTTAGTAGCCTCAAGGCGCATTGCGAGTATTTGTCAGAGAAGTGTAGCACTGAAGAGGAAAATAACTTATAAAATAGAAAAAATGAAACATTGAAATATTATCTCCCTTTATTCTTAATAGTTTTAGAGCCATCAAAATATTATTAAGCGATAAAGGATGATGARTTACTTAGAATACCCCCGCTCTGTCTTAGGCTATAATAATATATCAATTATCAACCTACATAATACATTACAATAATTACAGGCTTATTTTCTTGCAGATTATTATTATTATATTTTTTATGTGTGTGCGAATTTGTTCTGTGAGGTGTTTTTCTATGGGCTTTTTCAATGATTCCTATATTTAATATGATCACACTAATTTTACCACTGTGCTTATTACTTAATTTAATTAATTTCAGTGTCATTATCACATCAATGTTTGTTAATTGCATACTGAAATTTCAATTTTGAGGTGCATAATATACTATGTATATTGTATAAGTTAATTATTGAATATTGTAAAACCACTGTAGATAAATTAACAAAAAGGCAAGTGTACATGTTAAGTTTTAATAAGCCTCCAAAAATTAAAACAGTTAAATAATGCACAAAAAAGTGTATTATTATAGTTATTAATAGATAGTGTTTGAAATAATATTATGATAATYATAAAATGTCTTAAAGAGTTTTAGTTATAATGTATTTTCATCACATGTTGATATTACAGATTATACGAGTACACACAATCCTAATACCACATACGCCTAACTTAACTTAACCTGCATGGGTRCAACCTGCAACATATTTTTTGATGATTGATTTGCCYGTGGACTGCGACATTACTAATTATATTCACTTAGTCCCATTCGGCAGTCGACCAGATAAATTCATTATTTAATGTAAACAGATAAAATGGATCTGAACTAATATTTTGATTAGATATAATTGATACATAAAACAAATATGCCTGTTTTACAGCTATTAGATAACTATATCTAAAATTACTTATTATCAGGGTTTCGGGACTTATAGCACTTAAAATCATTAAAATAAGCGCTTAAAAAAGCTCTTAAAAACATAATTAYAAACACTCAAATAAGCWTTTAAAAAACTWAAATTTTTGGAAAAATATTTATCAAAAAACAAAAAACAAAAAAATCAAAWTAAATCTTTGTCTTAATACTATAAAATAAATTTAACTTCACTTTCGAGACTAAGGATTTTTTGGATTTTCCAAAGGATTTTCTGAAAAATGAAATGTAAATGATATTTATAATAGTTGAAAACATTATAAAAATGTAGATATACTAGTCAAATAACCAAAAACTATCAGAAAAACTGGAAATAAGCATTTTTTTGAAAATCGCTGAAACAAGCAAAAAAAGCACTTTCAAACTTCATAATTAAACGTATTATAACATGATATACACTTCCATAGCACTATGCTACATTTTAAGTCAATCTATAAAAATAAGCAAATGCTTTAAGTCTCGAGCCCTGCTTATTATATTATTGAAACCACT